TTTTTGGGTGAACTATCCCTTTAACTATGCTAAATAATGTTTCTAAAACCTCCTATTTATGTATTTATTTTAAGTTAGCCCTCACTTACTGTTTCCTGCATTAAGCAATCACAAGCCTTTCTGAAAAAAAAGTCAATGTTTCTTCAATTTCCCAACATCTGCTATGGAGAGGGGATAGTCGCCCTACCTGGTCACAGGTGTCGAGATCTTGATGGGACCTCCACGTAACATGCTAGAAATGGATCTGAACCAGTCAATAAAAGCAGACATGAATACACACAAAATGCTAAAGAGATTAAGGAAAATATATTGTATATAAGTATGGAGAAATTCTTACCACAGCTTGGTCAGTCAGGCATCCCTCAAGACAAAATGACATTTTGGCCGGAACATCATTTGCCTCAGGTTTGGTGAAATGTTAACCACCAGGTTTTGAGTTGCCCGTTATAGGTCGACCTCAACACCCATTGACAGCTCTTCTTCCCAAAGATGGACTGAAGCTTTACATTAAGAGTTATGATTATTTTCAAGATATTGAAAATAATTTAGGATAGCAACACACTTGAAGCAACCTTTGCACCGGATGTTTTTCTTTATTAAAATAGAAGGAAATCCATCATATTGGAGTTTCATGGCTTATGTTTTAAACGCATTGAGTAGGACTTGTATGTTGATCTGAGTCATGGTGTGAGGGGCCTTTTGGGCCTTAATTACAGATCATCATGTTCAATGCATCATTCCAGTCAACACAGTTTGAACCAAAGTGGCAGACTACAAATAATAAATATGAACTGACACAAAAAGTTAAAGGCCTCTGAAACCTAATAATCATCAACAATATTCTTAATGCACTTTCACAACCTCAGCTGCATATTCTTGTCTTTGCGGCGACATTACTGTAATAGTGCTGACCCAGTGACAACTTTCTAGATGAACGCCCAGACTGTGATCAACGAGCAAATGTGACATTTGCCCACACTCACACCCCCTTCATACTTGCTCTTGCTCACACTACTAACACTTAAAAAAAGGCAGCTAATCAGTAACCTGCTGCATCATCCGTCCGGGTGACATCTTTAGTGGCCTATTTGAATTTTGAACTTAGTTTTAAGATACAAGAACCTACTGCCAAAATATATCATCCCTCCAGGTTTAATGAAACTGGATCAGTGCAGTTTGTGATATTGATTCATTTGGACAGTTGGTGTCATTTATAAGGATGGCGTTCATAAAGATGCCTTCCAGGATAGTCAACCAGACTTTTTCAAAAGCTGCAGTCTTCTACCAACAGGGGGTAGAGACAGGAGTGACACACTGATTTACATAAACAATGCCTTACATTTGGAATTACAGATTAAATGATTAGTGTATCTACCAATTGGCACAGAAATCTCTCTGCATTTTTACAATCATATAATTTCCTGGTTTCTAATCTAAGCATATTTCTCTGTTATTATAAGAATAATTATAAGCAGCAATTTATCTGGAAAATTCAAATGCAAACACACACAGCTGGAGATTCTCCACTCAGACGTGTTCACAACAACACAGACATCTCCTGCATGTTCCAGCAAGGGGGGGGGCAGGACATAACATATTAATTCTGCTGCAGAGATTCTGTGTTTTTGTTTAGAGCACATTGTTTAGAGCGACAGCTGCATCGGCCCTTATCACCAAAAGCTCTCATGATATCTTACTCTGTGTCTTCTAAGTGTATGGCTCCACATTTTCATCCTAAATTTATATACAACTTAATTTGTATAGCACTTTTTAAAATAAGGT